AGATGGCTGACTTTGGCCACTTAAACTTTTCTTGCAATTCAAAAGACGTAACTTCAGACCCCAGAGTGGAAGAAAAGAGACCTTGAACAGCCAAAAACTTCAAAATTTCCTTTTGCAACTTGAACCTTGCATTTTGGTCTAATTCTGAATGCTTTAGAACACCCGGAAGAGACTCTATAACCCAACTTTTCAAAAGATCAGAGAATCCTAATGCCCCATTGGAATCCTTATCCTCTACTGAACCTATTTCTGAATTGTCATCAGTTGTTTGGCTCTGATCTGAAGGTTCTTCTGAAGCATGCCCTTCATCCAGAAACATGCTTGTCAAGCTCCGGAATAAGCACATGCAGCCAGATTCATTCTTAAACTCCACCATCAAATTCTTTACTGTTTTGGTCCTGGTGATAGTATCAAATTTCCCATTGCTGTGTTTTTGCAAAGCCTCAATAACAGCCACTCTTCTCTCATCATCATGTTTTGCCCATTCAGATAATTCTTTCATAAAATGGTCTGCAACTTTGAAAAGCCAAGAATCTTTAGTCGAAAGAACATCCATCAAGCACTGGACAAGTTTGTGAGACAGAACAACGTTGGCATAATTCGAAGGCAGCTTTGGTAGAAGCAACAGCATAACATCAAATGCTAAGCTTTTGCGGTCATGGGATGATGAGAGAAGTGATCCTTCAAGAATGACTTCACAAAAGTTTCTAAGGTTCTTCTCAACATCCTCTTCTCCCTTGCGACTTTTTTTGTGCTTCTTTGTGGAATTTAAAACTGATGCCGGATCAACATCTTGCAAAACAGTATCAGGTAAAAGGATATTCACCAAGACAGGCCATACACTATGAACTCGAGGCTGACAGAAGGTAGATTCCTGTGTATCCCATAAAACTTAAAAAGTCAAAGCGCAGTCCATCTACTCAATTATAGACACTAGCTGAAGGAAGAATATATTACAAGAGGAATTCAAAAATCACCTTTAAGCAAGTGGCAATATAGGACAAATGGTCAGCAGAAAACAGGCTACTCAAGCTATACGGAGAAGGGAGAAGCTTTCCAAATGTTTTATCAACTCCAGCTTTCTCTTGCATTTTGAGAGCCAAGAGCAATGCATCAGGATTTCCTACTTCAGATGCACCTTCAAACCACTCCAGAAGTCCAGGAGCTTCAAAAACATGATTTGGCAATGCTTCAACAGGTAACTGGATTACCAGAAAACAAGAAGTTAAAGTTAAAGCATTAAAATTTTAAAATTAAAAATATGAAGATAATAAGATCATATAACCAATCAACTGATCCCTCCTCTCCTCTTCTTCTTTTAATAAGTCCATCCAATTAACATCACAATATTGACCCTTCCCCATCAGTGTCTTTAACTAAGTAAATAGTATATTCCTGATTATGGGTGATGAGTCAATAAAAAGTGACCCAATAAGCAACCATAAGCCCTTTGGAGCCATCACAAGAGCATGCAAAAATATTTCATTTAAAAGATGTGAAAAATCATGACTATTGACTAAATGCCTCCCACATATTTACGAAAGGATGAAGTACCTTCTCAACCAATTCCCAAATAATTGAGACAGCAGGTTCTTGTAAATACCGCTTCTTATTTGCTAGCAAGATTAAAGAACCAATAAAATCTTTGATATATGGAGTATCTTTATCTTTAATCCACTCTTCGGTTAGTCTTCCTGATCTTGCAATAGCTCCATAAGCAAACAAGCGGCCTAACAGGGAATCCCTTACTTCCTACACAACCAACTTAGCAATTCACACAAGGAAATCTCTAAAGAATAAAAAATAAAAAAAATAAAAAAATTGTATTGAGTACATGAAAGTAGTGATTTTGAATTTGCTAACCTGGCCCTTCATTGAAGAAGTAACCTCAACCAAATCAATAATTAACTTCAACAGAGAGTCCATTTTGATGCTAGGAACTGCACCGACTAAAATACTCAATCCTAATGCAAATCCTTGTCTTGCACACTGCAATTGATAAAATTCAGAGAATGATAAAATCAGATTTATAAAGAAAAAGATATTATTGGCCAAAAAAAAAAAAACAAAAAAAAAAAACTATGGCCATTTCTCATTCAAACTGAAACCAATAACAACTTTAACATTAGAACTCCAAGAAACCAAGCATGAAATCTGACTGATGAATATTCACCTTTATCCTTGTCTACACTTTCTTCACACTGAAATTTACAATATTATCCCACATTCCAGATACTCTCCATATATTTTATAACAAGTGTGCATTGAAACACATACTATACTATAGTGTCACTCCTTTAAGAATTTGATTATTATGGACATATTAGGTGTCTAACTGAGATCCTTTAGTAACCCAAAAAAAATGATAAATTACAAGAGAACTCATATAATGCAACTTTTTTAACACTGTAAAGTTAAGAGTATAATAAAGAATAAATTTTTCCCTTGCACTTGGTTAAAGGATGGCAGTTACAAAGATTTCCGAACAATAATATGCTGAAACGCACCTCTCTTGATGAAGAGACACCGCGAATGAGCCTCCGAACGGCGTATCTCAATGACGGCGCACATTTATTCAACCCATCACCCTTATCAGCTTCCAATTTCAACTCACCATCAATACTTTCCTTATTCTCGAGCTCATCATACGCCTTCTGCACTTGCCGCAACTCCGTAACCAGCATCCCAGCTGCAGCTTCCCTGACAGAAGAATCAGCAGCGGCAAGTTCCTTAAACACGCCAATGTGAAACTCAGGCAAAACTGCGCCGCTACTACTGGGAGAAGTATCCGCCTTGTCGTCATCTTTGAATTCGAAAGCCATCTGTTTGGGCTTAGGCTCCGCGTTCTCGGATTCTTCCTGGTGCCTCTCTTTGTCCCTTTTCCTCTTCTCCTTTTTGGTCTCCATTGGATTGGTGGAAGAACTCTTCTTTGAGGTTGACGGAGCATTACCCTCCTCTTCTGGTTCAGCTTCTTTCCTCTTCTTCTTCATTTTCTTTGTCGACGGCTCGGAATTAACATTCTCCACGCTTGGATTGTTCAATTCGTCTCCGGACTCTGCAACTCTTTTCTTCCCCATCTATCCGAACCAAAAGAGAAGCTAGGTTGAGATCGTTTCGTACTGGTGTGGTGCCTGAGGGAGGGAGTGAAGGGAAGACAAACACACAAACCCTATAGGGTTTATGCATTGTAGGGTTTTTAGACAAAAACGGGCCAGACCCGACCCAAGATTTTAGTACATTCTCCGAATTCGAATTGGTTAGGGACTCCTTTTTGGCAAATTATTATGTAGACCCGATTTATGTACTGAATGTTGGCAAATTATGCTATGGACTCGTATTTACTATGTGCATGGTGATAAGGTTTAAATTGGCCACTGAACATAACTTTAAAATGCAATTAGGCCACTGATTGAAAAAAAGTATAATTAGGCCACTGAACACTTCAAAAATGTGCAATTTCACCTGATAGCAGGTTACCCTCAATTTTAGCAGGTTATTTGTTTACGTGGCAGTTGAGTTGGCATTTTTAATAAATTTTAATTAATTTTTAATAAATTTTAATAATAACTTTTTATTAAAAAAAAATTAAAAATAAAAACCACTTTATTTTATTTTTTATTTAATTTTTTCCAATTTTTTATAAAATTTATTATTAAAATTAATTATTAACAATTATTTAAAAATTATTAAAAATGTCAACTAAGCTGCCACGTAAGCAGGTAACCTGCTAAAATTGATGGTAACCTGCTATCCGATAAAATTGCATACGTTTGGAGAGTTCAGTGGCATAATTGCATTTTTTTGAGTGTTCAATGGCCTAATTGCACTTTTTTTCCATTCAGTGGCCTAATTGCATTTTCAGGTTACGTTCAGTGGCCAATTTGAACCTTATTCCTAATTTTTATATTGTACATTCATAAAATATATACTGTAAATTCATAATTTCTATACTACACCTTCATAATTTCTGTACTGTATGAATCTACATTATAAATTTTATGAATCTACAGTATAGAAATTATGAATCTACATTATAAATTTTATGAATCTACATTATATAAATTATGAATATACAACATGGTGGACACGGGTCCATAGCATAACACTCCCTGAATGTTCACATTTACATATTGAATGATGTTCACAATTTGAATTATGAACATTTAATATGTAAATTGTGAATATTCAATATATAAATGGTATATTTTGACTTGGAAGAAGGTGGACTTGCGCCCATAACATAACTTTTGCTTCTTCTTTTTTTAGTATCATCGACTTTATTACAGTGTAGTATCTGTTTATACATACTTTCTTAATCTACTGAATCATAAATTTGAACCTGTGACCTTCCAATATTTAGGCAAATTATTGTGTGGACCATAACAAAATTTACATTTTTAATATACTAAATATACATTATTTATGTACTGAATATACATTATATAATATAATGTACACTCAGTACACAATATAATGTACACTCAATACACAAATAATGTACATCTTCTAAATACAATGTACATTTTAATATACTAAAAGTATATTATTTTTGTACTGAATATACCTTATTTTACAATATATAAAATATGGTCCATACAATAAAGATTGCAATATTTACTTGCCAACCCATCACACATACTTAGGCCCCAGGCAATGGAAATACAAGCTAACCCATTAGCTAAAAAAAATAACTTATTTAACTTATTCTATTGTTTACATTTGTTATAATTGGACATCTTTTTTTTAAAAGCCAAAAGAATCAGACTATATTAGCCATACTAAGCAAAAGAAAGAGAGGAAGATCATCCCTCCAAACAGAACGCTCCAAGCTTGCGCTTATATGTTTAGCTAGAGCATGAACCGCTCGATTTGCATCCCTGCTAACATGTTTAACCACAGGATTTGACATGAAAGTAAGTAACCGATTACAAGATAGCAACACAAAACCAAGATAAAAACGAAAAGTACTAGCATGTCTTAAACTTGAAACTAAAACCAAACTATCTTGAACATAAAGTAACTGCAGTGTAACCATTGTCCTTCAACCATGATAAAGCTTCACACATTGCCAGTGCTTCGGCCAAGATAGGATCATACGAACAAGTTAATGGGCCATTTGCCGCTGCCATAAAGGTTCCATCCGCCTCATACACAATGAATCCATACGAGGGTGCATGCTGTGGGCCATGAAAACCTGCATCTACATAACAGATTACTCCTGCAGCTGAATGGGGGTCTGGAATCGGTTCTGCTACCTGAAAAGGCAGGTTACGAACATGCTGCTGAAAACTGATCTTCCACGCCTCCCACCTAGCAAAACTACCACGTAGTAGTTTTTGCGGATATGGTAAAAACCCTTCCCATACTGCGGCATTCCTGGAAGTCCATATGTCATATAAAAAGCCACAAATCCTTCCTTTGGTGTCTGGAGTGATGGCCGGTTCGGCAAGCCAACCCTCCACCCATTGCTTAAAATTCCTGCCGTTAAAAGATGGAATAGGCAATTGAGATAAAGACCAAACATGAGATGCAAAAAAACAGGAACATAAAGCATGCATAACATTTTCCTCCTCCAATCCACATGACGGGCATACATTAACAAGATCCACCATGCGCACAATCAAATTATCTAACGTAGGCAGAATGTTCAACAAGGCTCTCCACAAGGAAGATTTTCCACTTAGGCGGAACCTGTAACCTCCAAAGCATTCCCCAAACCTCCGAGTTTGGGGTATTCTGTTCAACCAACCTTCTATACCCATCTTTTACTGTGTAGCATCCCCTTATATCCCGTTCCCAAAACCACATGTCCTTATAATCCGCATTAATTGGCAGCTGTTTAATTAACACAACATCTCGAGAAGCAAAAAGCTGATTAAGTAAACCATCATTCCATCTTTTAGCATCATTATCAATCAAATCCGCAACCAGCAGGTCATGATTGACACCCTGGTGATTCAGACCCACATAGGGGTCGTGCGCATCAGGTAGCCATGGATGTGACCAAACTTTAGTAGTCCTACCATCCCCAATCCTCAGCCTGCACCCAGACTTAACCAACTCCTGGCCAGCCATTATGCTTCTCCAGACATAGCTCGGATTACCACCCAAAACAGCTTCATAAAAAGTAGTAGAAAGATAATACATAGCTTTAAAAACCTGCGCCAATAAAGAGTTAGGGTTCGTTAACAATCGCCACCCTTGCTTAGCCAGCAAAGCTACATTAAATTCATGCAAGCGTTTAAAGCCTAATCCACCGTACTTCTTCGGCACACACATTCTGTCCCAGGCTAACCAATGAATACTATTATCAGCTCATTTCCGCCCCCACCAGTACCTGTTCATCAACATTTCAAGAGCAGCACAAAGAGTTTTAGGGAGTAAATATATGCTCATTGTATATGTGGGCATAGCCTGCGCTACACTTTTCAGAAGAACCTCCTTACCAGCCTTTGATAACAGCCTCTTGTTTCAAGAACCGAACCTCTGCTTCAACTTCTGCTTAATATATGCAAAGACTGCCTTTCTGTTCCTGCTTACCACTGAAGGCAAACCAAGGTACTTACCAAAATCATCTGCCTGGGCAACCCCCAAAGATCCTGCAACGAGATCCCTATCACTATCAGTTGTATTACGGCTAAACGTAACACCAGACTTGTGAAAATTTACCGCCTGCCCCGAATAAGCCTCATATACGCCCAAGCACCTTTTCAGATTAGCTTTAAAGAAAAGCAAACTGTCATCTGCAAAAAACAAATGAGAGATAGGCGGCGCCCCCCCGGGCCACCCTACAACCATGAATAAGTCATTTAGACTGAGAATCCTGCAACAACAACGACAGACCCTCAGCACATATAATGAATAAGTAGGGAGACAAGGAATCACCCTGTCTTAGCCCCCTAGTTGGGATTATCTCCTCCGTTGGAACGCCATTTACCAGGACCCTATAGCGCACAGTCTCAACACACAACATCACAAGCCTAACCCACCTTTCATCAAACCCCAATCCCAACATCATCTGCTGTACAAACGGCCACTCCATCCTGTCATAAGCCTTAGCCATATCAAGCTTTAAGGTCGCCCAACCAACCTGCCCTACCTGCTTCCTCCTCAAATAATGACCAACCTCAGACGCAATAAGGATGTTATCTGAGATTAAACGGCCAGGCAAAAAAAGCACTTTGAGAAACTGAAACAGGTTTCATACGGTTTGCTAGCATTTTTGCCATTATCTTATAATGGCACATTACATAAAGCAATCGGTCTCAGGTCAGAAACAAACTCGGGGGTACATTTCTTGGGGATCAAAACTATGTTCGCATCATTCAAATTAGCAGGAAAAGAATACTGCGTAAGGTAATTAATAACAAAATCAGTAACATCCTTACCAGTTACATCCCAGAAAGTCTGGTTATAATTGGACATCTTATTTGCCCATTTGCAAAAATTTACCATTATGTTCAAGTCATTAATTTAAACAAATTTTGTACGAAAATATTTATAATCTTTCTAATGTTTTACAAGCTATTATAAATGAGTGATACTTAATGCACATATTCAAACAGTGATTGTGATTTTTTTCGTCACAAAAAAAAAAAAAAAAAAAAAAAAAAATGCCAATGACACGATGACATTATCAAATTGCCAATAGAGACACTCAAACGTTACTATCAAAGCACATTTGTCAATGTCACGATCAAATTGCCAATAGAGACTCAGACACTCATCAAAGGTTACTAACTTACTAATTACTATCAAAGCCTGGTAGGGAATACGTCAAAATTCAATTCAAATATGCTTAAAACAAACTCAGATATCAAAAAATTGCAATAAAGTATGGGTTATATGTTGCAGTCTAAATGCCCACAGAAATGCAAATCACAAAGCATAGTGACTATAAAATGTAAATCACAATATTTATTCATGCACTAAAAAACATTAGTTCACAAAAAGTCACCAGTCATTTCTACTGGAAATTTCACAAGATGCACACCCAGGTTCAGAACAACCAAGAACCACCAAGCTTCTGGGTTTAAGTACAAAATGCGGGAAACAGGATAGCAGAACATGAAGTAGAAACCTGATCTTTCTGAAGGGAAAATCCTAAATATTTATCTCATTCCTGCATGCTGCGGGAAGCCTTGTGCACAGGGTCTGGCATTTTATTTATTCCAGATTAAACTCCTTCACTTTGCTAGGAGAGAACCGATGGGACATTTTACATTCATTTCAATTTCTTTCTTCCGATTTTAGGAAAGAGGTATCCTGAAAAATCTGCCACTAAATGACGAACCCCATTTATCACATGATAGGCCATAGCTACTGCAGCTACCTCGAGAGAAAGTTGGCTGAGCTTTGATGTATAGTAGAAGAACTGGTAGAAATCACTGTAGCTGAGGCAAACTGAACCTAATTTCAGATAAAGAATATGAAAGCCAAAAGCAACACCGGCTAGGTAAGCTCCAGAGATTCTATGCAGAATAGAAGAAGTTGAAGTAGTCTGGGGCGTATAAACAGGAAGATGAGGTGATAATGGGCGAAGGACCTTTTTCCCTTCATCAGTTAGGTTGTCAGATGCGATTGTAGAGAAAGCCTGAAATGATGTTATTAAGAAAAGTGCAATTAGATTCCACACAGGGAGTCATTTCTCCAGATCAGAAGAAAATGAAGGAAAAAGTCATCAGGATCAAATAATACTGATGTTCTCCAAAGCATGACTACCCTTACCCGTTGAAACTCGCGATGTTTGGCTGGCATACCAACAAATAATCCTTTCTGGTAAGCAGCAGCCACAGATGGGGTGACCTAAGATATTTCAAAAAAATTTAACAATAGAAAGTGTTCACATAAGAGATATCTACAAGGGCAGTACAGCACAAACCAAAAAAAAAAAAAAAACACACACACACACACACACACACACACAAGCATTGTAAGCAATAAAAAAAGTAAAACTAAAAATAAAAAGAATTGATCCCAAAAGGAAAAACTCATCTTACCTTGTTCTCCTTATCAGAGCTATGGGAGTTCACAGTACTCAAGTCAATACCAGCAGCTTCATTTCCACTGGCTTTTGAACTGCATCAATATGAAAACATTATGGATGACATATAAACACAGGGGAATGAAAACAAAGGAAATTCATAAGTGTTTAGTTAAAGATACCTAAATTGCCTAGCAATACCAGCCCATCTAGTACCAGTAACTGATGATGCCAATGATGAATTGGTATTGGCAGTGAACTGCACATTGAATGTTGAATATAAATTCAGCTCAACAAATTAAAATAAATTATTCATGTTACATATCAAAATGAGAGACTGAAAGAAATTGACACAATTAACAGATGCTTTGGCAACATAGTGAAAGTAGAGCAGTGATCTTAAAAGGAATAAATTCCTCATTTATTTTCATGGCACTGGTACGTTCGGGAGTTTAGGTTGTCATCAAGCAAAACAAGGAGCTTACAGATTACATTTCTAAATGATCAATCATCTTAATTCTAAGATACTCCTCCAAATCTCTATTTCACCATACTATAAATCAAGGATCATCAAATCGAATGCATAATCATTGTTGTTGATGTCCGCTTACCTAGGTACCATTCACAGTAAGCCATTTTTTCTTTTGTAAAACTAGATTGGAGAGCTAGATGATTGTGATTATAAAAGAAAGGCTTGCGTTTGAGCTTTTTAGTTGTCTATTTAGTCTATTACTATCCTAGAAATCTAGAATGACTCCCTGGGAATAGATGACACCGATGGCAAATACAATAATGATGGTTATAAAAATAACACGTTCAATGAAACGTGAAAGCAAAATTTAACAGGTTCTTCACCCTCCAGAAGTACAATTAAGTAATTTTTTCCTCGCATAAAGGCATACGGAAAATCATGTCTTAGCGTCGAACAATAAAACCAGATCAAATATCAATATGAAGAAAACCCTAAATTTCGCAGCAATTACATACGGCAAAATCGTAAGATAAACCAAGCAGATAAAGATGGAAAACACCTCAGCATTGAACAGAGAATCAAATGATCCATTTCTAGATAAGAAATCGTCAGAAGACACCATTCCAACATCATACGAATGACCAAGGATTAAAATCTATAACATCAAAGAGTATAAAGCCAAAAACAAACTATATATATGTATGAAGAGCATACAGTTTTGTAGGCAGAGAGGGAAGAGGAAGCCAGATCGCGGCGGCGGAGGGATCTGAGCACGGCGGAAGTCGCCATTTGAGAAGTCTGCGTTTGCTCCCGTGAGGTATGTGGAGTGGTGTTGCTAATTTTTCCTCCGTATTTAACTTTCGGGATTAAGTAGATGCTTTTATGTTAAATATATTGTCATTAAAATGGCTAAATAGGTAGTACTCTCATTTATTTTCAAAAAAAAAAAAAAAAGGTAGTACTCTCATTTTATTTGTACTTTAGCCCATTTTTTCTTATTTTATTCATTTTGACTCAAGGATGGGAATTATTACTCAACCCATACCATTTACATTATCAATCCCTTTTGTGTTCCACCTTATTTTTATGCAATATTCTAACAAAACTGTAAAGAGTACATCTTGACTGATAAAAAATTAAAAAAAAAAAAAACGAACATTTGATCAAATTAATCAAAGACATAGTGGTTCATCCGAACTGTTACCCGATATATTTAAATGAGTGTGAAGTTGAATCATATCAATTTGAGTTTGAGGTTGAATCATATCAATTTTTACTCGAATAAGTCATCTTGCACTTTGACAGGAAAATCCTTAGCCCATCTTTATTCAAAGTTTTGGAAGGGATATACCGCGAAAAAATCTCAAAGGATCCTGTTACTTAAAATTCGTCTAACTTCTCAGTGACCGAATCTGAGCGATTTTTACCGCTTTCTCTTCTCTCCAGCCCTCTCAGACTAACCTAACATGATCTGCTAATCACTAATAGCTAATTGTCAAATAAGATCATATACTGCTCCAATCCGTATTTATTTATAACTTATATGTAAGTTATTGATACTTATAGTCTAGTATAAATGTATAATAAAGATGGAAAGGGAAAATGGCAATACTGCTACAAAAATTATAATGCAAGAATTGACAAAACAAAGAGTAACAAGAATAGATCAAACTCTGTAATAAAAATTGCTTTCCGTATGCAAAACTGTTCTGGTATGTATCTACTTCTTGACTTCTTCATACTCGGCCTCAGGGGGCTGCTCACTGCCTTCAGAAGAACCACCACCACCAGACATGTGCTGACCAATCTTAGAAACAGCTTTGTTTGCTGCATCAATCTTCGATTTGATATCATCAACGTTATCTCCGGCCATGGCGTTTCTCAGGTCCGACACAGCTGATTCGATTTCGGAAGTAACTTCCTTGGGAACTTTGTCTTTATATTCAGCTACACTCTTCTCTATACTGTAAATAGTAGTGTCTGCATTGTTCTTGATGTCAATTAAAGCCTTCTTTTCTTGATCTTTCTGGGCATGCAGCTCAGCTTCCTGCACCATTCTCTCAATGTCGGATTCTGAAAGGCCACCAGATGACTTGATAGTTATCTGCTGCTCTTTGTTGGTGGCCTTATCCTTAGCCGAGACTGTGACGATACCGTTGGCATCAATGTCAAATGTAACTTCTATTTGGGGCATGCCTCTTGGTGAGGGAGGAATCCCCACGAGATCAAATTCGCCTAGGAGTTTATTGTCGGATGCCATCTGGCGTTCGCCTTGCAGTACTTTAATGCCAACCTGAGTTTGGTTGTCAGCAGCTGTGGAGAACACCTGACATTAAGAAGCACACAGGTAATTCTAGCAGATTGTACAAATCTTACCAAAAAGTAATCAAAGACCAAAACGAATGACCTTACCTGGCTTTTCTTGGTAGGAATGGTAGTATTCCGAGTAATCAATCTAGTGAAGATACCTCCCAGTGTCTCGATACCAAGGGACAAGGGAGTGACATCCAGAAGAAGCAAATCTGTCACTTCACCGCCTAGAATACCACCTTGGAGTGCAGCCCCCATTGCCACTGCCTCGTCGGGATTCACCCCTTTGCTTGGGCTCTTGCCAAAGATCTGAGCAACCACCTCTTGCACCTTCGGAACACGGGTCATGCCACCAACAAGGAGGACCTCATCCACCTCATTGGTAGATATTCCTGCGTCCTTCAAACAGTTCTTGCAAGGATTCCTTGTCCTCTCAATCAAATTGTTCACAAGAGCCTCAAATTTCGACCTAGTTAATGTGATATTTAGATGCTTTGCTCCAGATGCATCAGCAGTGATAAATGGCAAATTAATTTCAGTTTGAGCGGTTGATGAAAGCTCTATCTTAGCTTTCTCTGCTGCCTCACGAAGCCTCTGCAGGGCAAGTTTGTCCTTTGTAAGATCAATTTTATCAGTTCTTTTAAACTCATTCACCAAAAAATCCAACAAAGCATTGTCAAAGTCCTCCCC